GCTGTATTAGATGTGGCGTTTGTAGAGTGCACAAAAAAAATGAGCGGATAGGATAAATTTGTATCGCCATTGCGGTTATGATACGGTACTACAGCGTTAGACCAAGAAACATTTTTAATGTAAATTCGTTTGAAACCATTGGAATTTTTTATGCAAATTGTTTGACATTACTACAAATTAATGTGATCAATATCCTCAATATTCACGCTTGGTCCGACTACTTCCCCCACTATTGGTTCCCGAAAGGATGGCGTCAGGTCGAATGGAGGAATTCCTAGAATGCTGCGGAGATCCTCAACGGACAGAAAACAATCCACTGGGGTACTGGCCATCGTGCCAAGCCGAACTCGAACCCTACGGTACGTTTCCGCGCATTGATTTCGCGCCGGCGTTCGTCGACATCAATATGATCGAGTTGCCGAATTGTAGAATTTGAGGGAATTTCAACGGGGGCGGTCGGCGGCAATATTGCTCTCACAACGGTTGCATAGTCGATTTGGAGAGGGCCAAGAAGAAGGCTCTGGTCTTCAATGTATTCGGCAACGCGGGTCGCCGCAGTCACGAGGTTGTTAGAAGTTGCTCGCCTAATCGCGGTGCTGGTATCCTTTTCTACGTCGTATTTCGGAATTTACACTAATTTAATAATAGCGACACAATTTCGACAAATTCATATATTTCGATATTTTTACCGACGTAAATGAACAGCAACAATGTGAGCGATGCTTGGGCATTGCGGATCTTGCTTGCGTTGTCCCAAACTTGCCGTACCACATTGTTGTAGTTTAGCAGTGTGAGTTTGACGTACTTGTCTTTCGTTGTGTTGGCCGCAACCTTTACATAAACTTCATTTGGACCTTCTGGGTCCCACAGAAGCCTCGCGTTCGACGCGTCAGCATGGTAGTCGGTGATGGTAGTCGAAACGCTGTTGACACCCAGGGCAGAAGCAACACCACACGTAGTATCGCTGGCCACGGTGAGCTCGGTCGGCTTACCAACGCTCGTTCTACTCTTGCCCAAGGGTTTACCTACCTTGGTAGTGATGTGGCACCGAAAGTACTCCGGGAACGCGACGGTCAATCGTTCGCGCTGCATGTTGGTATCGTCCCCTTTGCGAGTAAGATGGTCCAGGAAATAACGACCTGTCTTTATTAAGCTCATGTGCCAGACTTTCTATTTGCGTTGTTTAACGCGTGGTTTTAATTTTGTCCTCCATTGATTAGTGCGATAAAACAATGGGCAAATTGGGTGAAAAGCACAATAATAGTACTACGTATTAATAATATTAATAGTGTACTACCGGGGAACGACGGAATGGTACGCCTATCGAATCTTCGAACTTGGGAGTTTATGTGCTCAATGATTGGCTGATGAACTTCGGGCTTCGGGAGATTTTCCAGCCAATAGTATGCAATTCAATTAAAATTTCAACGTTGTGAATTTATATTTTGAAGTATATTAATTTATGAATATCAAACGTGCGCGAATTTCGAGCCTAGCCGTTTGAGTAGCATCATTTCCAACATGTTATTTCAATTCAGAGTAACGTAAATGACTGGTACGATGGACATAATTCAAAGACAAGCGTTTGACGCGGTGGCGCAATGGTTAGTGCGACGGCATCCAAGATGATTGAGGAAGGGGGCCGGGGTTCAAGCCCCGGTCAGTGTCAAACTTTTTCGTAAAATAATTTTCAATTAAGAAATTTCAATCTTCAACTCGTAGGTACCTCTTGAAAAGAGCCATGACCCCCACATCCAAGGGTTGGCAGACAGCAGTTGCGTTCGCAGGTATGGGACAGAGGACGCTTCCCAACTCTTCTTCTACGATCTTGTAGGACTCGTCCGTCACGTGCGACTCGAAGTTGTCAAGCAAGACAACAGAGGGGCCATCGATCGTGGTGCCCAAGAGGTCACGAAGGTAGGAACGCCACACGTGGTTGTCCATCCACACTTTTTCTTGAACTGCGTAGAAGTGGCCACGGGGGTACGTTGGCACTTCATTCGTTGCGATGCGTCCGGTTGGGGATCCACGTACGACAAAGAGAATCGGCAGTTTGGTGCCATCAGCCTTGACGGTAAGGACAGCAGTCATGCGCAGAGAGTGCTTCTCGCCGGTCGCGATCTTGGAGCTGCCGCCTCGCACTGCCCAGATATACTTCGGTGGCATGTCGTAGTAGAACCCGGTCTTATCAACGTTGTAGGTGCAGTCCGGTCCAATCCATCGCCATTCGCGGTGATACTCTTCAGCAATCTCATGTCGCTTCGATTGTAGGTCGCCTTGCTTGTGCTTGCTCTTTCCAGCTTTTTGACAGGAGAACCCATGGCGCTTGCAAAAGCGTTGAAGGAGGCGCAGCAGTCTTTGGTATCCGGTGCCTGGCTTTTTGAGCGCGTTGTACGCTCGGAGCCACTCAGCTTGGTTGCGTTTATTCCAATTGATTATATGTGTCATCGTTAACGCTCCTTCTTGGACTCGCATGTCGTTAAAGTACGTCTCGAGTCCAGCGGGATCAGGAAACTTCTCCGTGCGACCACCGGGCTCGATTATCATACGCTTTTTGTTGCCATCGTAGGCAAGGATTTCCCAACAGTTGTTTGCCCATGCCCGTACCGTTTGACGTGGAATGCCGAGCTTTTTGGCGACTTTGTAGTCACTCATTGATTTAAGCAGACCTAGAGCCTCTAGTCTCGTCGAGATGCTGTAGGAGCGCTTTTGAACCGACCTCATGTGAAAACGAAAGTGGCGTCAATATTATTGGTGGCGAATTTAAATATCTTCGCGCGCGGTAAATTTTCCTTTGATTTGATTGGTTGAAATTAAAGTTGTCTTTCAGGAAAATTCGATAGGCGCACCATTCCGTCGTTCTACTCTAATAAACGCGTTTTTCGTTATATGAATTGAAATAGGTAAAGATCTGAGAACAATTCTCTCATAATCGATACTACAGACTGTACACATTATGAGAAGCCTCGCAGCTGGCGACTGTAGAACAGGCCTTGTCTTGGACTAACGTTAACCCTGGAAAACGTTCAACAAATCTGAATACCGTTCAGCCAAGACTGAAAACCGTTCAAACTAATAAACTCTAGTTAGATTAGGCATATTTTTTGTACTCTGACCACCACAACTCTAGGGCTTACACCTCTGGGGATTTAGCATTATACTTCGAAGTATGTGCACGGGGTTACGGGCAGAAAATTTGCTTGAGAGGTTTTCAGCCTTGGCTAATCCTCGCCAAGGCACCACCTACAGGGAATTATACACACGCACGCACGACCTCTGCAACGGTGTGCGCAATTTCCTCGCTAGGTTAATTAAACCTAGGGATATTTCCTACTTTAACTTCAAAATGTGTGTTTTCCGTTAAAAAGTGTGTTTGATTCATTAATTTTGGTGTGGCTTTCGACATTTATCGGGACTTTCCCTAACGTTATATGTGACAAAAATAGGTGCTCACTTTTACTAGTATCAGCAGGACCATCCAGGAGCGCTTTGACGCTTGTGACAGCCCATCGACTGGACACGATGCTCGCCCGCATTCTCGTCATGGAATTCGGTACCCCCAAGCGTTGTTGGTCAACGAAGGTGGGATAGTAGCTACGTACTACGTGGGCCGCCCACGTCAGATACTTTCTCGCTCCATGGTCGGACGAGCTAGCTGTAGAAGTGTGGTCCATCAAGTATTGAAAATGCGCAAAGACATTCCAAACAATGCCTTGCCTACCTACTGTTGGACACACGGCCAAAGGTTGGCGTTCGCAGCAGGTGCGACGACGGACGATGGTGCCAAATTGATGGGAGGAGATGGAGGGTTTCGTATGGTCCACGTACAACATTGCGACGCACGCCAGCATCGTCTCTCTCACCAGCCGCATCGCCATGTTATTACCGCGACCCATTACACGTGGTAACGATAAGTTATACGTCTACTAGAAGGTGTCAAGTCCTGGTGCGTAACTAGTATTCACAGTAAGTTTACCTTTACTCGTTTATAAGAGCTGTATGTACTACTACAGTATCAACGGGTTGGCTCGTACTCACAAGTGCACCCATGTACGTATGTAGTTCCTTCTTACAAATACACCACACACCATCTCATGCTGACGTTCTGCAGCGCTGAACCAGTCTCACATAAATTCTGGCTGTTGGCCTTGCTTTCAGTAGACAATGGGGCCACTGCGAGTTCCCACTACAGTACACGGAACATGTCTTTGGCTGACGCTAACATGTGTAGCCAGCGTATGTACCTCGTTGGAATGTTGCGTCATGACAGACAGCACATGTCGCCGCGATGGTGATCGATGGCGCCACTTGTCCGAGGGTGGCCGTTCCTTTTGCGCGCCGTCGCATACAAACATCAAGTGACGCCCAATTCGGCAAGTCGAAAAAACAATTTCTTGGCGAAAAAAAATATTTCTCAGTGTGGGGGGCAGCCGTTGCAAACAAAAGTTATTTTTTTACGCATACTCGGAAGAGAGCGGGATCTCATTGATTGCCCCGTGCAATCGGCATCGGACCCCATGGATGATGAACTGGCCGCCGTCAGACGTGAATTGGACGAGGTGAAGGAAGATCTCCTTCTCAAATCGGACGAGTACAACGAACTGGTCACAGCAAGCAGCGTGATTGAAGCAGAACTCGAGAAGGATCTGCAGGAAGTGGAGCAAAAGGCTGAGAAGTGGCGACAACAGGCACAACGGTTTGAAGACGAGGTGCGCGACGCACGGGAAAAGATGGCGACGCATTTCAGAGATTCCGCGACGTTACAGCGGGAACTGGACAGGACAAAGGAGAAGTTGCAGACACTGACGCAGGATAGAGCACGATGGGAGACTGAGGTCGACCACTTGACGACACAAGTGCGGATCTTGGAAGCATCGAACGAAGATCTTAAACACCAGCTTGAACGAGCACAGGAGGACAAGGTGTTTCTGCAGCATGACTACGCCGAGATCGAAAAGGAGCACGAACTGAGCAGCGAGCGGTACCGGTCCGAGATTCTCGACTTAAAGTCCGAGTTGTTTGCCGTCAAGGTCCAGGTCTCGGCCCCTCTCCCGCGGTCAACAGATGTGTCAGATTTCAGTTTTCGCGATAGCTTGTCGGCGTTGATCGAGGACAATCCGTTCCGGCCGTCGATGTCGTTGGAGCGGGACATGGAAGAGAACGAAAAGCACATTCAGATCCTCCAAGACGAGCTGCGGGAACTAGGAAACCGCTTGCAAGACGAAGAAGACCGCCGCGGACACCTCGAAGCGCAACTCGTGGAGATGCAGGACCGGCAGGCGCACATGGAGGCGATGGAGGCGGAGATCAACGACATGTCGGACGAGCTCATCGAAAAGGCCGAGCATGTCAAGCGCGCCGAGAACGAAGTCACATGTCTGCAGACGAACCTGACGTTCACGCTGGCGTCCGTGGAAGCCATGCTGTCGTCGACGAAGGAGCAGCACGAAATGGAGCTGGACGCATTGCGCCTCGAGTTAGACGCGTCCAAGAGCCTGGCGTCGTCCCAAGAGTCGTCATTCCACGAGTTGTCGGTGCTGCGGGCCGAGTATTCGCAGCTGGAAGCGTTGCATGCCCAGGCCAAAGTGCAGCTCGACATGGAGCGCGCCAAGTTTGCGCAGTTGTCGGCCGAACTCGACCAAAGCAAGGGCGCCACCGAGGCCGTCCAGGAAGAGCTCGATGCGTTGCGGCAGCAGTACGACGACCTGCAGAGCGAGCACAGCGCGTCGTTTCTCCAGCTGAGGAGTCAGTCAACGCCCCCGCCGGTCACGCGCCCCGCGCGGTCGCAGTCGATGGACGCGCACGACGTGGCCCAGAAGTACCTCCTCGAACGCAAACGCAACGCCATGCTGCTGTCCAAGCTGCAAAATGTCACGGGTAACATGCAAGTGTTGTGTCGGGTGCGGCCGCTGCTGGCGCATGATCCAGCGCACAAAGGTCCCGAGGTGGCGGTGGACGTGCTCAACCTGACGGACGTAGCGGCGATGGAGATGAAGGCTGACCATGTCGACGTGGACGCGCCGTGGAAAGTGTTTACGTTCGATCGGGTGCTCAGCCCCCACTGTACGCAGACCGAAGTGTTTCGGGAAGTGGAGCCGATGGCGCAAGCCGTGATCGACGGGTTCAAGGCGTGCATCTTTGCCTACGGACAGGTACATACGTACCTACCTACATTTCTTCTGTTGAAACTCACCACACTCATGGGTAGACTGGATCGGGGAAAACGTACACGATGGAGGGCACGCCCTCCCACCCAGGGCTGAACTATCGCCTCCTGAGTCACATGTTTGAATCGGTGGCATTACGTGGCTCGGTGGTGGACCGCCCAGAGGCCGTCGCGTCCTTTGACGTGGCGTCGGATCGCCCCGTGTACCATTTGCAGCTGGGGGTGTTTGAGATCTACAACGACACGATCCGCGACCTACTCAAGACCAACAACGTGCTGGATATCCGCACCGACGAGTTTGGGGACGTGGGCGTGCCGGCGCTGCACATGGAGACGATCTTCCACCCCACGCATGCTTTGGAAGTGCTGTCCCAGGCGCAAAAGAACCGCGCGAGCTGCGCCACCAACGTGCACGGCAACAGCAGTCGATCCCACAGCGTCGTGCTGGTGCAAATGAAATCCAACGCTGGCCAGCGCGGGACGTTGTACTTGGTGGATCTGGCCGGGAGCGAGCGGGTCAAGGTGAGTGGCGACCACGCGCTCAAGGAGACAGCGGCGATCAACAAGTCGCTGTCGGCGCTGGGCGACGTGATGGAGGCGCTCGACAAGAAGCAGGCGCACGTGCCGTACCGCAACTCAAAGCTCACGTACGCGCTCCAGGACGTGCTGGGGTCTAGCCAGTGCAAGACGGTGATGATTCTGAACGTGGCGCCGGGGTTCACGACCGCCAGCGAAACGTACCGATCGATGCAGTTTGCAGAGCGGGCGAGGCGCATCGTGGTGGCCCCGCACGGGATCAAGCCCCGGCAGCGTGGCCTCCTCACCGGCAAGCAAGCGTTCACCGAGATCAAATCGCTCAAGTCGCAAGTGGCGGCTGCCAACGCCAAGCTCATGCAAGTGAACCAAACGATCGTGACTATGGTACGTACGCAGGAATCCCCTTGTGTGTCGTACGTTTAGATTGTCGTGGCTTGTTAGAAACGAGACCACAAGCTCGAACAGGACAAGTTGACGACCCTGCTCGAGCAAAAGACCAAAGCAGCCGACGAAGCCAAGAGCGCCGTGCAGACGATGCGCGCGGCCCAGAGCGACCTCCAAGACAAGCTCAAGCAGGAAAGGGAACTGCGCCAACAAGAGGTGGCCCACGCTGACCAAGAGCTCAAGCAGCGCCGGCAACTGCAGTCCAAGACCAAAGTGTCGGCGGCGCACAAGGAGTCGCTGGAGAAGCTCCTGTTTGAACGAGAAAGCGAAGTGCTCAAGCTCCGCCAGAGTCTGAACGACGCGCGGCGGCGGAGCCAGAACTCGCTCATCCCGCGCTTGTCACTCGAAGCCGCGAGCACTACTACGACGACCCCCCTGGACACGTTCAAACGTATGACCGTGGAGGACCCTGTCTCATCGTCGTCCGCGTCTGAAACTGAACTAGAATCCGAATCGTCGACAGATAAACCAGTGCCGTCGCGGATTCCTCAACGCGTGCTGCGCCGCACGACGTTCCCCCAGTCCAACGACGACCCCCGCCACATGGAGGATGACGCCCCGTCCAAGCGGAAAGCGGTGTCGGCGCTTCGAGTGCCCGTCGCCATCGCAGCCATCGAAGGCGCACTGAGGAAACCCGTGACGAGGTACACCAAAGTTAGCTTCACCCTCGTCTTATATATATACCACAACTCACACACGTTCAACTGGTAGCAGCAATGTGGAATCACGAAGCAAAATCCCAAGGCGGGCATTTGGCACCACCAAGAACGCACCGCGAGAAGACAACCAAGCGACAAACAAACCACCACCACCACCCGTGTCGTCGTCGTCGTCGCCGGCGTACCGGAGGATGTGGAAATAACAATTAACCCATTGTATTTTCATTCGTGGTGAAACTGTCGAAGGCGGGGGTCGGGGTGTTTGGCGAGCGCTCCATTTATTCGCTCGAGCACCTGGCCTAGCACGTGGGGCTGGTCAAAGCTCAGCGACTCCAGCGTATGCAGCAGCTCGAGCAGCAGGTCCTGCGCGTTGCCGTCGTCCGTCCCTTGCACGGTTTCAAACACGGCGGGTTTCAGCACATCGTCAAACAAGCTCTCGCCAAAGTCGTCGGAGAATGCGGTGTCGTCTTGAAATACACTGCCACAGAGACAGGTCACGACAGTTTGTCCAAAAGCATGGGCAATGGACGTACCTCTGCACGGTGGACTTTTTAGGCGACATGGCGTCCTTGCTCAAGCGGACGGTGGCGCCAAAGTCCCATCCCGAATCCACGGCGTCGGCGAGGTCCGACGTGGTCGAGTCGACTGGGAGAAGGCTGGTGGTGCTGGTGGTTGTGATGGTACTGGTGGGTTCTACCGGCAGGTCGCTCGTTCCAAGTTGGGCTCGCTACTCACGAGATAGCAACGTCGGAAACATACTAGTACGAGGGAGGGTATGTGGTACCTCGATGAGTTCGGTGAGGTATGACACGTCCTTGTCCGACTTTGCTTTGATGAACGGATGCTGCAGCAACTCGAGCGCCGTCGGGCGGGCGGCGGCATCTTTGACCAGGCAGCACGAGACAAAGTCTTTAAACTTGGGACTGAAGTCGCCTTCGAGTGTTGGCGGGGGGTTCTTTGGAATCACAAACAGTACTTTCATCGGATGCAAGCTAGGCAAACCACACGTTATCGTCAATATATATATATATATATTTATTCAAAGGCTGCCATATATATATATATATTTGTAGGCAGCCGTACGACGCGTGCGGGGGTTCGCCCAACGCCATTTCGATCGCTGTGATGCCCACCGACCAAATGTCCGCCTTGAAGTCGTAACTAGCCGCACAAATAGATAAAAAATGTTTCCTTCGTACAAGGTCGGACGTACTTGTTTTGCTGGATCACTTCTGGGGCCATCCAAAACGGAGTGCCCACCACGGTGTTCCTACAATATATTTATTTACATGACGATAGTTTCAAAGATAGCTCGGCAGCGCACCGCTTGGTCATGGTGTCCGTCAACTGACCCGTCACCCCAAAGTCGGCCAGTTTGACCCTGCCGTCGCTTGCAAGCAAGATGTTGGCAGCTTTCACGTCGCGGTGAATCTTTTTCTCTGAATGCAAATACGCCAACCCCTGGAACGTGATGAACTGACGACCGTCCTTCGATCGGAGGATGCATGTACCTTGAGAAGTTCGTGAAGGATGATTGCAATGTACACTTCGTTCAGCGGTCTATAGGATAGGGTTCATATTGCATCATCGTCTATGAGGAGGATTTCCATAACCATCCAACGTCTTCGTACCCCGGAGCCATGAGATCGAGGACCGACCCACCAGCAAGGTACTCCATGATGATCCAAAGCTTTGTTCCGACGATGAATGAACCCATGTACTTGGTCAATTGGGCGCAAGAACACTGGGACAACACCGCGATCTCCTACGGGAGCAACCCCATCACGTCGCCAAACAAATGGCTACGCGCTCGTACTTTCTGGACGTCGTCAATCTCGTCTTCTGCAGCTTCCAGGTCGACGATCTTGATGGCGCAGATCTCGTTCGTTCGCCGGTCTATCCCTTTAAACACTTCTCCGAATGCTCCATCGCCCACCTTCATCAAGATGTCGAAAGAACTCTCCATGAGGCCCGTCTGATGCTGCATTTGGATTTCGTTGGAATACTGTACGTTCGTTCCGGATAAAACATTTCCATAAAATTTAACATTTTCCCAAAACATGAAACCATTTTCTTGTTTTGGTGAAAACCATTTTCTTGTTTTGGTGAAATCGCACTTAACTGGCAATTGGATCTTGCTTGGAAATCAAAAGGCACAAAATTTGGTCGCACATTCACACCTATGAACAGCTACCTGGCACTCCGATGCCGCTCCGAGCAACAGGTGATGAATGAGTTCACCAAGTCCATCGCTGCCAAAGACTACACGAAGCGGACGGCGGTTCTCCTTCACGAGCTGACGTTCTTCTACGTGTCGACGAACACAGACACCGACGGAAGCAGTGCCCACATCCACGACTCGGTCTTGAAGGACTTGACGACGCTTCTCACAGCCATCAAGGACAAAAGGGAAGATCAACGTATCATCAAGACGGTCATGACGTTGCTTCAGCGCATTGCAGAACAGATGCTCTTTTCCCAAGGTCCGCGTCATCCGTCCTTCCAATTCATCTCATCTTCCTTCGACGTAGAGTTAAAGCAGACGCTGTCCATGTCACCTGCTCCATCCCCCGCTTCCATTGCGCCCCCCACCAGTCCCCGTGGCGACAAGACCGAAGCCATCATGCATGCCTTGAAATCCTTGACAGATTTGGTGGCCAAGGCCGAAGTTGGCAACGCGTTTCCCCCACGCCGCGTCGCCGCGTACAAGCTGTTCGTCGTACTCTGCGCCGCCACGCAGCAGCCGGAGCGCCCTTTCTCCATCACGTCCACCATCCAATCCTCCAGCGTGTGGACGATGTTGAAGCTCACCGCCGCCGCCAAAAAGAAAGGCGCCGACAAGGACCTCCCGACCCAACTCGGGCTCCTCAGCGGTGCGTTCCAAGTCGCCCGACACACGCCGTCCCCCGCGTCCCTCGAGTCGGTCGTGCCCCAACTAGTCCAAGGCGCGTTCCTACCCAACCGCCACGCCGCCGCCACGTGCCTCCGCCTCTTTGACGTCATGCCACTCAAAGTCGTCCAAGCAGTTTACGCCCACGTGAGTGCCACCCCGTCGTTTTCGCTCAACACGACGGACCCCCTCACGACCATCTACGTGCTCAAACTGTGCGGCAAGATCACGCGGCTGCCCGTCACGTCCTCATCGTCTTCTTCGTCGTCGTCAAGCGCCCAGAACTTGCTCGACTTTTCATTTGACACGACCGTACGTTTATGTACGGAAGCCACGTTGTGCATTGGATTCGATTCATGTTTAGTAACGTTAGGCGAAACCAGTGAAACGCCGCGAAAAGGCGCCGTCCGGGCCGTCCATCGACGGCTCAGTGTCGTCGCGCCTCTCGGACCTCCTCGTGGACATTTGCATGCAGAAACATACGTTCGCCCTGGCCGCGGCGGCCTTGACCCCCCACGCCTCGTCCGTGTCTGTCGCCGCCGCGACGTTGGCGCCGTGCACGGTGCTCCTCACAGCGATCCAGGAGCTCGCGCTCGGGCAAGTGGCCCCCAAGTGCTTTGAAAAGGTGCGGGGGGGACTATCGCCGTTTGAAATCGCGTCCAATGGCGTGCATTTGATCTTGCAAACCCATGCCGACAACCCCCTCGTGCTCCACCGCGTGGCGCGGGTCGTCCAAGTGGTCGCCGAGTGCTTGGACTTGACGCTCGTCGAGTTTACCGCGGGCGGCGGACACTTGGACTTTTTCAGCCACGTCACCGACCGCATGTGGGAGCTTGCCACGTCACCAACGTCTTACCAGTCGTCGTGCGTGGTCCGCGAGTCGCTGATCGCGCTCGTGTGGCTTCTGCCGCGCACGCCCCGCCGATCGTCGCTGTCCCCCAAGACCCAGACGCAGTCGGCCGTGTGGACGCGCTTCCTCGTCCATCTCCGGACGCTGTCGACCGTCCCAGAGCTGGACCGCCGCGACATTGCACTCGCCATGTTTCGCCGCGCGACGCTGTTCGACGTGGACGCGCCGCTCCTCCACCGCACCATCGCCGTGCTCGTGCACTGGTACCACCTGCATCCGTGTCAGTGGCACTCTGACGTGGCGCTCCAGCTGTGGACGACGCTGCTGTCGGACGGCCAGCCTTCCAGCGACATGTTTGCTAGTGTGCTGGCTATGATGGACCACCACGTGGCGCCGTCGTCCTCGTCGCACCCTGCGCAGGCGCAAGCTGTCCAAGCCATGAAGTGCGTCGCGCTCCGCTTCTTGTCGTCGCCCCCAGCCACGACGCTGCTGCTCGGCCATCCGACGTTGGCGGCCGCGTGCCAGGACATTGTCCTTCGTCTGACCAAGTTTGTCATGTTGGACGAACTCATCATCCGACGACTCAGCGTCGACGCGATGGTCGCGATGGCGTCGGGTGGTGGGACGCCCCAACAACAACATGTACACGACGTGCTCGCGGCGTTGGATATGCCAAGCCATCACCACCTAGGCATCCAAGACATTGTCGTGCCGTTTCTACGCCGGACGTCTAGTAGTACTAGTAGTAGTGTTGGCCCCTCGCAAAAGTGGATGATGATGTAGACAGCAATACTGGGAGGTATAGGGGTGGGTTATATTAGGGTTGGTTACTTGAACGTGTTGAAGTCGCGCACTTCGTTGACAATGTCGAGTGCCTTGGACAACAACGTGCGCATTTCAGAGCAATTGGCGCGGCGGCTGGCAATGTCCCCCGACTCGCGCAGCAGCTCGCCGAGCTTTTCTTCCTTGTACAAAGTCGACACGAGCTGGTTCTGGACCTGGTCCTTGGCGTGGTTGACCATAAAGCACATGATCGACTTGGGCACGAGGTCGAGAAAGTTCTTGCGCACAATGTCAAAGTATGACGCCAACAGCGACTTGATGATTTCCGTCTCGATGCGCTCGCGGTCGGTGGGGGCGTCACCCTGGCGCATCGTCGACGGCACCTGGGGCAGCTTGACCACGGGGTCCTTGGACGACTTGGACGTTTCAGACGCCGACGGCTTCTTGAACATGCTCATAAACCCACTGGACGACTCGGCCTTGTCCTCGGACTGCGGTGGCGGCTTGGCGGCGGACGCGCGCCTGGCCTGCAGCTGGTCTGGCGACTGAGCTCCGGCGGCGTGGCCATCTTGCTGCAGCTTGTCCATGAGCTGGGCGACTGCGCGGGACCCGCCGATGAAATCCGGATGGTTCGTGTTGATGTAGGACAGTTCCGTCTTGATCAAGTTGGAAATCATCGCCTGCGTCGGCCCCATGGACGTGCGCAGCATGCTGTTGACCACCTCCACGACGCGGTCCCGCAAATCGGCGAACCGCGTGAGTTCCACCGTTTCACACTGCGACGTCACGCGCTGCAACTCATCAAAGACAAAGTCGACGCACTGGAGGCCAGGCGCTTCGAGCCGCGCGATCTGGCGCTTGGCCAGCAGTTCGAACGACACTTCGGGCACAAACAGCGACTGCCGCGGGCCGTTGGCGTTGCGGATCGTCGTGCGGATGTCGTTGTCGCTGAGCTGGTCAAACGGGTCCACGGCCTGCACGCTCTTGGTGAAGAGTTCGTTGAAAATGTACGAGATGCGCGCGCCGCCGTACAGTTCGGTCATGTCGTTCGCGTTGGGCTGCCGGCCATCCAGCGAGTTGATGAACGACGACGAAAAGTGCGAAATCAGCTGCAACAGCGTCGCGCCGAGCGCCGTCTTGGACATGGTGTCGGTGGGGCCGCCCATGCCGTCCATTTCCAAGTCGAGTTCGGTCAACATGGACGAAATGCGAGACTTGATGTCGGGTAGACAGTCGCGGATGTGGTGCATGAGGATCGTGTTGAGCGATTTGCTGAGAAACGCCGTCCCCATGCGGCTCGCAATGCCGCGATACGCCGGATGCGCCTTGAAGAACGTGGTTTCCTTGGACACGCTGTCGCGGATGCCCACGCCGTTGTTGATGTCGGCTTGACTGCGGTTCACGATACCGACGTAGCTACGATCATGGACATAGGTGGTCGACTTGAGTGGATCCATCATCTCGAATACTAGTGTGCACCTACCCCTTCTTCAGCGGAATGATGCGACCTTGCAGCATTTCCATGGCGTCCGTGCCGTTGTCCATCAAGTCGAGCTTGGTCAAGACGCCGATGGTGCGCAACCCTTCCGGGTCGATCGCGCGCGCCATCTTCAACGAGTCGCTGTTGGCCAAATCCGTGTTGGCCGCCGTCACGGCCAAGATGATCGAGTTTGGGTTCCCGATAAACTCGAGGCACATATCTCGGATCTGCTCTTCAATGTTGGCGGGCTGGTCTCCCACCGGCACCTGCATGACACCACGTCAGTCAGACCTAGATGAGAGACGGAGGCTCGACTTCTTACCTTGGTGATCCCTGGCAAATCCACCAGTGTCAAGTTGAGCACAAACGGCGAAAAGATTTTCAGCGTGATCGGCTTGTTCGAAATGCCTTTGTTCTTGCCCGTCATGCGGTCCGTCTCCTTCTCGATTTCCTCGCGGATCTTCTTGAAGTCGTTGAACTTTTGGTTGGGCAAGTGGTTGAACTCGCCCCATTCCTCGTCCTTGTTCACACCCCCGTCCGTGTTGTACAACTGAAGCACCAACGGTCGACGGGTCACGATGCCGCTGCCGCGCGGCAAAAAATCCTTGCCCACGATGTTCTCCAACACGGAACTCTTGCCGCTCGACTGGCTCCCCACGACGACGATCTGAGGGAGGTTGATGGGCGACTGGCCGATGGCCGAGAACACATCTTGGAGCTTGTTGATGATCGGGATGAGCTGATCCATGTCAATCCGTTGTCGGAAGGAAGGGCGGTGCCGCCAATTGACTTGTGACGACCTGACACATACGAAGTCACGAATTGTTCATCCGATTCAATACAAATCACAAGACAACATTAATCGTTTTGAATAAAAATTATAACCGAAACTTGTAAAATCACTACATAGGAACGTATCATTCGGATATGTTATTCGGATCCTCGTGCGATGAATGAATGAAACGCAAACACTGGACAACCATGGACAAGCTTGGATCGATCTCGGGGTCGTGGAATGGAAAGGACGTCGTGTCCACGGAGCAGTTTGATGCGACCAACGTGAGGTAGACATGCTGCTTCTAGGCGTGAACTACACGGTCAGAGCTGATGGATGGATATAGATTCTTGTTCCAAGTGGCGGACCGGATGAAGGAAATGGTGGCGCGCCAAGGCACCGACGACACCCTTCGCGGCAAGGTACATACGCATGTGTTCTACCGAAGTACATCGTGGGGCCATCTAACCGCCAAGTATGCAGGTGTTGGCGAATGTGTTCTTTGAGCCGTCGACCCGCACGAGCTGTTCGTTCCAAGCGGCCATGGTGCGCTTGGGCGGTGCTGTCGTGTGTGTCAACGAGGTGCACCCACAATACATCGCATCAACCCGTCGAGCTCATGTCTTTCTCTCAGTCGTCGTCGAGCAGCAAGAAAGGCGAAACGCTGTCGGACACGATCAAGTGCCTCGAATGCTACACGGACCTCCTCGTGCTTCGTCATCCTGTCCTGGGCGCCGCCGCCACCGCAGCCGCCGCCAGCTCCAAACCCATCATCAATGCCGGTGGGTTTCCCATCCTTTGTTGGTCTCTCATGCATCGTAGGGGACGGTGTGGGCGAACACCCGACGCAGGCGCTGTTGGACCTGTACACGATCTACCAGGAAGCCAAGCTCGCCGACTTGGACTTGTCCGGGAAAGTCATCACGATGGTCGGCGACTTGAAGAACGGGCGCACGGTGCACTCTTTGGCCAAGTTGCTTGCCCATTTCAATGCCAAGCTCAACTACGTCGCTCCTGGTACGGATTTGTATACACCCAAGGGACGTTAGAGCTCACTCGAACGCTGTAGAATCGCTCAAAATGCCCAAGTACGTGGTGGACGCGCTGGCCGCCCAGGGCGTCGTGCAGCGGGAAACCACCGACTTGGACTCGGTGCTGCGTGAAAGCGATGTGTTGTACATCACGCGCATCCAAAAGGTATGATCTTATCATGTAGTATCATCTCTTAGGCGGAATCCTGATTCGAGCATCGGTAGGAACGCTTCGACACGGTTGAGGAGTACGATGCCGTCAAGGATAGCTTCCGCATCACACGCGCTACACTTGAAAACGTACGCTACCTACCACACATGCACTGCACCCTTACCTTATAACGCATGTGGTGGTCGTGTAGGCCAAGGCCACGGCCATCCTCATGCATCCGTTGCCCCGCGTGAATGAAATCGAGGTCGACGTTGACAGCGACCCCCGTGCAGCGTACTTTCGTCAAATGGAGTACGGCATGTATGTCCGCATGGCCATCTTGGCGCTCGTCGTGGGTCGCGCCTAGACTGTCCTGTAGTTCCTTGTAATGGACATCTTCATCGACACCACACTTCCTCTTTAGAGTGCAATGGGACATCATTATCCGGATCTACGAGTGGATCATCCGGATAACCATCCCCGTTTCAATCGATTGGCTTGGGTTGGTTGTTGTGTGGCATTGTTGGTCCGATGTGGCTCATTAGCGATTTACTTTTGAGGACGCTTACACGAACATAATGTCGGCCGAGGAAGTGAACGAAGTGCAAGTCGAAGTGGCTGAATTGGGAGAATTGGAAGCTCTCCAAGAAGTGTTGAAGAAGGCTTTGGTCCATGACGGCTTGAAGCGCGGCCTCCACGAAAGCGCCAAGGCGTTGGACTCCCGCCGTGCCCGCCTCTGCGTGTTGGCCCAAGACTGCGACGAACCGTCTTACCAAAAGTTGGTCCGTGCCTTGTGCGAAGAACATGGCGTGAACCTCATCATGGTGCCCAGCGGCAAGCAATTGGGCGAATGGTCTGGGCTGTGCAAGATCGACGACAAGGGTGAGGCCCGCAAGGTCGTGTCCACGTCCGTGGCCGTTGTCACCGACTTTGGTGAGGAACACCGCGCGTTGGACGTGCTCTTGAACTTCCTCAAGAACCGCGTGGAAGCTTAAACCACATTTCTCTCCCTACCGGGTTTGGTAATATCGCTAATATACCAAACTCCACAACCACCAAATCAATCCGACAACCAATAGTAACTGGACTAATCTGCTCAAATTGCACTAATATGCTCATATATGTGGTGGGGTTGGTTCACTTGTGGGTCTAAATGACTGTCTCTGTTTTACTGTTACTTGTTAGCTTACATCTGCATCCTACTGCCATGACATGACACACATGTTTGGGGGTGGACGAGTCGTGGAGGGAATAAATAGGGACGCCGACGGTCCGTCCGTCCGTGTGTGGGTAGTAAAGCGATCGTTCGTTCGTTCGTTCATCCGTCTCGATGGGGCGGCGGCACCAGCAGCTTCCTCTGCTTGGCTCGGTGCGTGTATTCTTGGCACGGATCGTCCTCGGTGGTCGTCGTGGGGTGGATGTCGTCTGTCATGGACACGTCGGCCGGTTTCGTCGCGCGCTTCTTGTCGCCGCCTCCTCGTGTGTGGGGCAGTGGACGGTCTTGAAAGAACGGATGGCGCAGAGCCATGGCGGGGGTTATCCTCCTCGCAGGACTACAATTCGAACGATCGTCTTAGCTTCAATATATATATATATATCATTCGAATATAAACAAATAGGCAACGTCACACACGTACTCAATCTCGAGCATGCGGGTGACCAGGTCCACAAACTGGGCATAGTCGTCGCTGGAATGGTCGGGCTCCTTGTTCAATCGTCGGCCGCCCAGCGTGCAAATGGACTCGAGGGACATCGGCGCATCGTTTGCTGGACACTTCTTCCGCAGGGTGTAGTTGCGCGTAGGTGTGCACCCTGGGTGCTGCTGCTCCCGCGCAAAGTACTCGCAGCGGACACTCGGGTTGGCCTGCTCTACAACATGTCCAGGAACCATGCCCAGCACTTGCACGATCTTGCGCAGTTGGTCGGGCAGGTCCTGACCAGCAAACAGAGGCGACCCCGTGTGCAGCTCGACTAAGATGCATCCCACGCTCCACATGTCGATGGCGGTCGTGTACTTCATGCCCAGGAGGATCTCGGGCGCGCGGTAGAACCGGCTTTGAATGTACGTGTGCACCTACTCCAATGTCAGCTACGGCCAAGACGATACTAAGGACTGTAACGTACGCGTTTGTCCGAGAGGCACGAGCTGCCAAAGTCGATGATCTTGATGTTGCTGCGGTTCGGACGGGCGATCACAATGTTCTCGGGCTTGAGGTCGCAGTGGATGACGTTGATTGACGCGAGGAACTCGAGGGATTCCACGATCTGCTTGGCGAATTTGCGAATGAGTTTGAGCCCCACGCCTTTGAATTGACTGCTGCGAAGCAACTCGTACAAGTTGTACGAGCACAGCGGAAACACGAGGCACTCGTGGCCTTTGTGGGTGAAGTGGTCGACCATTCTCACTACAGAATGGCACGCACGCATTAGACGACCCGACGTCATCACGTCATGGCAACTACGCGTACCGATGTGGCAACGGTCGCCATGGGTGCTCGTGTGCATGTACTGCAAAATCTTGATCTCCGTCTGGGCTTGCACTGAAAAGTGCGAGTGGTTCTTGATGATCTTGACGGCCACTCCTTGAGACGACGTCTCATCGTACGCTTCGAGGACTTGGCCAAATGTGCCCTAGGCCTCGTCGTCAGTGTATGCGTCAAGGGACTGGAGGGATGCCATACCATGCCCAACTTCTTTCCTGTGATGCGGTACCGGCCATGCAAGACTTCGTTCTCGGCGGGTACGTAGTGGCCAGCCATGATCTTGTCCACTTTCTTGGACGTGTCCACGTGTTTGGTCAAGCCGTCGGTCGGGTCTTTGGACACCATGGTTTTCTCAGCTTGTTTCTCCCTTAGAGACTTATAGTACACCTACAGAAACCAGTGTGAGTGTCTGCACGGTCGTTGTCGGCACCTGAGCCCAATAGATCTCTCGTCATCGTACGAGTCCACACTTTACGTACGCTGTTGATTCGTTTGTACGTGGACATCAACTGGACTGTCAGCTGCAGGCACGGTCTCACTGCCCCATGCTCTTTGCTATCCATGTTGGCAACTTCAGGCCAGGTTCACGCAGCGTGTCTCGTGGGATGACGGGAGCGGCACGAGATCAACTCGGATGCGACGTTTGACTTGTTGAATATGTAACTATTCGAAATACTCGGGCAACGGTTTCGTTTTTTGTTCTTCAGACTTGATCTCTTGCACAAAGTATTGCGGCCACACCCGAAAAAAAAGAAATGTCGTTCGTTTCGCCTGCCATACAAACGCCAAGTGAATTCCCCCTCGCACCCCACCGTCAAACTCGATCGGATCTTCCCCTACCCCTTGAATTGCCGCCCTCGTCAGTGATTGGTCCGTTTGAGCGGCACCGCCAAGAGGTACCGCAATTTTCGTGCCACATGCAGGACGGACTCGACGTGGCCGTTTGTGGCTACGTACTTAGGCGATAAAGGATGTTGCATGTTTGGACAGCATTGTCAAGTCGGGATTTACAGGGGCGAAATCGAGCGACAACATCCTACAGTATGGGGCGAGATTGCTGCACCCTGAACCTAAATATTGGTCGATTATAATAGAGAGTTTTCGGACAGTGGATTTGAGATAGAATTCGAGGTTCGGAGCTCTAACTCAAAAGTAGAAAAACAACATTTTCGGACAAGAATATACTCAAATTTGAGGTACATTTCGGCTCCTTTCGGACAAAAAGTAAGGTAGGTAGATTGAACGGATACTATACGGATGACACGTATTGTTCACACAACCAGCAATTTGCGAGTCATGCGGTTACCACCAGTGCTTCGGAACCGCGATGTCGTGCTTCTCTTAACTGCACTGCTAGAGCAATGTCATGGTGATTTTGATACGTTCTTGGACACCCTCGAAGTCTTGATTGGAGTTAACGTACTGCGCCTGCGAGCGCCGCGCCCCCTAATCAACTACAACAACAACTTCGACCGGCACATGGATGCTGCCACCGCCCGCACCAAGTTTCGATTTTCGATCGACCAACTTGCCGTTCTATGTGTAAAGCTGCGACTGCCAGAGTTCACGGTCACGCCATGGCACGACAAGGTCGACACAGTTGAAGCAGTTGCCATCGTATGCCGACGGATGGCAGAGACTTGTCGATTGTACACAATCGCATCTGAATTTGGACGATCGTTGGAGGCCTGCAGTCGAATCATCAATGCTGTGGTGAACGCAATCTATCGAAAGTGGCACGATGTGATGTACTTCCATGAGCGTCTGACCGCACTGCGTGCAGGTATGTATTGCCTTGTTCGTATGAGTCTAACATGGTTTCTCTTTAGATTCGTACGCTGAAGCCATTGAAACCAAGAGCGGCCTCCGCGGAATGAAGACATGCATTGCCTTCATTGATGGTACCAAGCAGTTTATCAGCCGCCCAACTCCACGACCCACGGCATCGGAGCCCGAGAACCTCCAGCGCGTCGTTTACAATGGTCACCCACGGCGCCATTGTCTCAACTGGCAAGGTGTTTCCGTCCCCGACGGCATCATCGTCGGCATGTACGGGCCCGTTGAAGGCCGACGCCACGACTCGACGATGCTTTCAATGAGTTGTTTGTTGGATCGGTTCAAGGCAAACCCAGTCT